CAAAACCAAACATCCAACCGAAAAACGACCACACTCAGACAACCGCACCCCACCAACCCACAGCACACGCCAACCGGCCACACCCAGAAGACAAACTGACAGCGTCACAACGCCCCCAGTATCTTCGATGCCAAAGTACCAAATATGGAAACAATATCACATGACATCATTTAAACGAAAAAACAAGGGTCGTCACAGCATCTCATCACTCAAATTAGAAACAGGTAAAGACTTGCGAATTTTTTGAAGCCCTGATTGTTCAATTAAGTCTCCATTTAATTCGAATGGATTCCGTTCAAAGCGGGTATCGCTTTATTGTTGTTCAGTATCATGCTCTTTTGCCATAAAATCCAACTTTGCTTTTAGCACTGCCGACGTTTTACTTGCTTCATGCAATTGTTCCAAGTTCGATTTTGCAGGGATTTTAGAAATGTCACTTTTCCTGGTTGATATTCTCATACTAGATGAATTACATGACCTTTTCTCAAAATTCTGTTTTGATCTTAATTGCTCCTTCCCCTTATGCGTCAAGCGTAAAATCACACCGGTAATTTCGATAAGTCGATTTTCGAATAATTTCAATTCATCATGTGAAATACAATTTTTCATTCCACGAAAAATATGCTCCAATGACCTTTGATCATCATTAACTTTTACAAACATGTCTTTAATTTTCTGTTTATCATCACAGAATAGAAATAGCCTTTTTCAGCTTGCAATACTTCTTTTTAAGAAGTCCAGCATTTCAACAAACTGAGCCTCGATTTTACAACCTGCAGAAATCTTGACAACAGCAGTTTTCTGTGGATGCTTGCCACTTTCAGATCTGGGCTGTTCCAGTTCTGAATTTCCATCAGTCAAGGTTTTCGGTAATAAAATATCTTCTGCATCTACTTCAGTTTTGCTACTCGTGCTGGTGCTGGATGAACCATTTCCTGACGCCATGATCAAAGTCGTCTCAACTGGTGATTTGATTTATAATATTCCAATGTACTGATCATTGCACTGCTTCACACTACAATTTGTCACTCCGTTGAACAATTAATCGATATGTGGCACTTCTATTTGCGAGCTTGCGACTCCAATCACTGTAGTGTACTGCAATTATTTCTCCGGATAAAATTAATTGTTTTTTTGGTGTATTGCAGTTTGTTTCCCAGGCTTGAATTAATGACTTTAATTAATTACTTCAATTAATTACTGTAGTGTGGTGTACTGCAGTTTGTTTTCCCGACGTGAATTAATTGCTATAAATTAATTACTGTAGTGTTGGTCACGCTGTGCCAACTCTAAAATGGTGTTCACTCGGATCACAGTGTGCCACAGATATTGATACTAAAACTAACTTGTGAACACGGCCTTTTTTTGTTATGCTTTGACGGGACAGCACCTTCAGGAACGAATATTACAGCCTGTGTTCTCCAAACCCCTATAAACAACAGTCCACTTGATTGATACAAACAAATGTATTATAACTTGGAAAACGTTTAACAGTCGCTCAAGGATTGCAAAATCAGGTCGAACACAATAGCACTCACCAAACAGTTGGTAAAGTACGAAAAAGCCGGTAATTAATTTTAGTGTAACTCGGGTATAAACAAATGCAGTACCAATAGATTTCTAAAAATTAAGAAAACATAATTGTTACACCTAAAGGAACACGAATCACTTACAAATACAAATCCAGGGAGAGCCAGAAGAACTAAGAACTGCAGACAGGGCAATCAGCCTAACGCAAGTGAGAACACGTGGTGCTAAGTCAAAAAGTGGTAGTCTCTAGCAACACCTAGTGGACATAAACCCACAAAAGTGTGTCAATAATACACTTTGTAAATCAATGACCATTACAGTTAGTTTCAAACCAAAGTTAGTTAAACTGAATGATAGTGCTATATTTTTGTTCTTCACGTTTAGTATGATTAATTTTTACATTGCCAAATATATTGTACAAATGAGATATATCGAAATCAGCAATGCTTTTCCATGCAATAAAAATTGATCATCTTACATTACACCAATCCTTATAATCAAATTCAGGTCGACTGTTTTACCAAAGGTCAAATTTCAACGCATTTTCATGTCAGAAAGCCAGAAAGGACAGAAAATATAAATCAAAAGGTAAAGTAGTTTTTTGTAGAGGCGCAGAAGAAAAATTATGCCATTCAAAGCATGACACATTCACTACAAGCGGCGTGCGTCAAGATATTTGACGCTATTGTACGTATTTTAATTTCTTAGCGTTAGCTTGCTCTCATGCCATCCTGATTAAATTATTAATCGGAACAAATTAGATTTTGATAATACTACTTGATATGTAATTCGTTTTCGAGAGAAACTTTCCCTAACAAATAAACGGCATTTGTGTTTTATACTGTTAATTGGACTTATTGATTGATATTAGATTGTTTGCGTGAATTGCCATGGAGACGAAAATATCCTTGTTCTAGATTGTATTATGTGTTATTACCATACGACTTTGTATACTCACGATAATATATTGCACACGAAGTATATTTGTATTTGTCCAAAGTGTATTCTTGCTCCCGGCCCCCATTTGTTTGCGCAAAAGTTTGAGTACATATAGCATAACCCTTGACACTGGTAAAATAAAAATTAAGGTCAGGACTGGGTGCAGGCTTGCCCGATTGCCGTCGAGGATATGCAATATATATGGTACCAAAATCGTCGCTAATAACTAGTAACAAACTAGGGTTTTAGTAAGTTAGTAATACTAAAATATGTTCTTCAGGCTTTTTGAAGTATAATAAAATTGAGAGTTAAAGATTGGGAGAATAAAATGTTGACTACATATATATATTTAACAAGCAAATTAGTCGAACGCGCGAAATACTGAGAGTCCAATAATACTCAGCAAAACTGTTTAGCAAGATTTATCTCCCCCATAATGGAGGTGTGATAGCAGTGTAACAGTGAGTCTCAAGCTTTTTCAATTTAAAAAATAAGTTGTTACTTCTCGCGACCGAAGAATATGCTCAAATACTAAGATGAATGAAGTGTTCATGGTCGTAAAATTACATTACTAACATAAAACAATCGTTTTACATAACATTTATTTCCCAAGAAATCACTTCGAAGTAAGAAAGATGCACTGGTTTGCCAACAACGACTTTTTGAAAAAGTGGCGTTCCAAAATAACAAAATAGCATTTTTAGGCAAATTAGAGGCTGTCGATTTTTACTCTGTGATCATTCCCATGTATATACAGCTCCTATTAGGTAACACTTTAATACCAAATATGAAAGTAACATTCAAATTTACTAAAAATAAATAAAAATCAATAACTTTGATGAAAAAACAAGCGACTCAAGAAGATTTGCAGTTGAGTTTTGGATCGCGACCCAGGTTGGGAAACACTGGTATAGACCTATACAATCTAGCGATGTTGTGTATGCAGGTATTGAGCAATATTTCGACTTTGTAAAGCGATCCACTTGACAATTACTGTTTGGTTCACTTTCATATTTGTAGGAGTTATCAATTTTAAAGTGTTATAAGTAATGATTAATCTAGTGTTTGTACAATAATCTTTAGTCGTTTTTTGTTAAACACAACAGCACAAATATGACCTTGAGCTGTCAAGAGATTTTTGGCAGACCACATCCATAACGATGCTATATAGATAATATCGGCTTGTTACCTCAGCATTATAATTTGGTATTTATCAGCATCTGTGCATAACAACAAGGACTGGTGTTCGGTACTTCTAAGACAAACTGATACAAATTTAAAATTTATTATAATGACATATAACGAGATTTTGAATATAAAATGGAATACGTTATCATTTATTGGTTAAAGTTGACTGAAAGAAAACATGTAGACGAATATCATGCAAATGCGTTCGTTATTAAACGTTTATTCGAACAATTTGATCAGAGCTTCTTGCTATACTTCCATTACGTGTAATATGCATCGCATGAAATAGGTATACGGTAACAAACAATGTTTGCTAATATACGTTACCAATTTTAAATTTGTCCGCAGTTATCCACCAAGTAGGCATTCACGCGAACTCCACTATATACTAGTTTCAAGTTCACGGCTAAAGTTTGAGTAACATTCAATCAGGTATAACTTAAAACGCTCAATAGCAACAGTAACTTTGACTATGATTTCGCGAATAAGAATTCTTCTCTAAATTTAGAAGTGGAAACATGTACAGTTGCATCTTGAAAGCAAGACAACAGCAGGAGTTTCAACCCTGATTGTTATTAGATTTCGGCAGGGTTTTATTTAGAAATTTGATAAAGACCTAAAAAAATTTTACCTACAAACTTGGCAAATAGCCAAGAGTATTGAACTGATGTATTTAGACTTCCATGATTGCCAGAACTATTTCTAAAAATATTTCTAATATATAACTCGCGAAATATGTTGATGTTCAATGTACAAAGCAGAAAGCGGGAACAGACAGAAAACATGTTATGTGCATTGACACAAAACTGATAGATAAGATAGAATTACTTTTTTTTATCAATTTTGCTATTTTTTCATACCTAATAATTCAGGTGATACACTAGTACTTTTATATATTTAAAGAACTGAATATTTAATTCTTGGAAAATATGAAAGAAAGCAATAAAGTTGCTCCGATACGTTCACATAACTCAAAATATTTTGAACTATCAGAAACCAGGTAAAAATGAAATTTGGTTTGCATTTCATTTTATTAAACTTAATTTAGAAATAACGGAGCAGTTTTTAAATCTTTCAAAACTCCTCATGTAAAACAATATAACATTCAAAAACGCTATGAATTGCCCACTAAATACTAAGAGTTCTTTGATAAAAATAATGCAGCAAAGAAGAATATTTTAATAAAGTTGAATCTATCAACTTGATATATAATATCAATGCGGAATGATATTTAATTCGGTAAAATGGCCGTGATATTTTTTATTTTTACTGAGCTACCAATTTCTACAGTCAGGTCAATAGTATACTAGAGGTATTCATGAAATATTTTATTCATGGATATAATGGCTTCGAAGATTTTGGCAAAAATATTTTTGCAGGTCAGTGGAGGAAGAGCAATATGAGTTTTATCGTATCACGAAATTACACCAGTGTTGCTTGGAACAATCCACTGATTTCGGAAACGCATTTGATGAACGACTACATGCAGTTTAGATGATTTTTAATTAATTTTTTTTTTAATTTTAAATACACCACATACATTTAATTGGGGCCACATGTACCAAAGGGAGTCGCGTTGAATGATATTTTATGTAATCACACAAAATAAAATCTAGATTTTGGAGACATTTTCAGTAAATTAAGAAGTACAGGCATTAAAATTATATACAATGAATTCATAACAATTATATTTCTAACAAACATTTCCGTACAATATAACATAGCTTAATGCGACGCAAAACTAAAAATTCGAATGGTGGAAGAATGTAACGAACGGCGTATGACTTTATATACTGAATTCCATTTCCTTAGAATTGAAGACATCTATATTCTTATGCACTTTTAGTTGGTGCAATTTAATTGTAGAGACTTACCATATGGGCGTTATTCATATAAAATGATCTAAACTCAGTTGTCATTAATGGTCACAGCAAATATATGTCTTTAAAGTACATTAAAAAACGCGTTTTGTATGAAGGAATGTGACCATCAGGGAATGAAACCAATTCATTTGGCGTCTGTGTGTGGCAACGACCAAGCGGTTAAACTTTTATTAGAACAAACACCGACAGAGCTTTTAGCAAAAAACAGATGGAAAGAAAATGCCCTGCACATGGCTGCGGCAGAGGGACACGAACAAGTATGTAAATTGAATATTAACAATTCAAAATAATTTTTATTCGAAGAGGTTACAAGTTAGTGGTTGAGGACGAATGTTCATCGGTATTTTATTCAGAAAAAAAATGCTGTCATAAAATATTAAATAAACGAGAAAATTTGGATGCTTGATGTGTGTATTACTATTTCAGGTCGTATTCCGACTACTTGAAAAAGCTGAAAAAATTCCCACCGATCTGAAGGTCTTGCTAAGCACAGAGAATCAAAACGGTGCCACTCCTTTGCACCATGCAGTATATGGAGGGAGTATAAACATCGTATATAAGTTGGTTGAAAAATGTGAGTTCGTAAATTCATACTCATAAATTTTACTGATTTTTTCTCATGAGGCCGTAATATAAATCAGTTTAACCGATTACATCCTGTGATGAATTCTTAAAGCAGAATCAAAAAACTTTTAACATTTATCATATGAAGCTTGATAATATATTACAAACTTTACTTTTTAATTTTTTAAATATGGATATTGACAATGTCATAGAAAAATATATTTAATAAACCGCAGGTCGAGATTACCCGAAGATGTTGAATGCGACGCAACGAAATTTGATGACGCCGTTGCATTTAGCGTGCATTGTTGGAAAACTTGATATAGTAAAACACCTGGTCGAAAACGGAGCGAAATTGATGAACAATGGGAAAGTGGAGCAACTCCTTTAATAACTGCTTCAAAATATGGACACTGTGATGTAGTAGAAATTCTTCTGAATAAGTACACGACATTATTTAAATTTAATTTTTTAGATAATTTGAAAATTTAAATTTCTAACAAAACCGAATACAGTACTTTAATCATGTTCGATAAACAATATTTAAAACATGGTAGCCTACGTGACATCCTCGTTAGCTGAACCTGATAAATAACTTGTTATAATTTATTTCAAAAATTGAAGCCAAACTTAAAAAACAAATTAATAAAAATAAGTTTGAATAACTCAAATATAAAATATTCTGTTATTCGTGTCCATGATATAAATATAAATACACGAATGCATTCATAATGAAATTGCCAATTGAAATATAAAAAAGTACAAAATTATAGATATTTTGCAAGTTAATACAAGTACAAGATTACATTTCCACTGTACTCTTTAACAACAATACTGTTTGTACAGAGGAGCAAACAAAGAGGCACAAAATAAAAAAGGTTATACAGCTTTACTGTCGGCTGCAAAATATGGCAAGTATGATGCTGTGCTCTTGCTACTGGAACATAAAGTCAATATTAAAGTTCGCGCAAACGATCATTGTAACATTATTCATGTATGCGCTGAGAGAAATAACTTGGAAGTTCTGAAAAAGGTAAAATATTTGACACACTAATGCGCTTATGTCTAATATACAATTTCAGTGGTTCATAGACATACATGTTTATGGTTGATAGACAAAAAACAGTTTGCCGCTGTGTTTTTTGTACAATATTTATTCATATTGTTTGTTCATCATATGCCCATCTATGAGCTTATGCACAAGACGACAAATCGAACACAAAGCCATGTTCAGTGATATAAGATATTGCCGATATACAGATACATTTTCGCATTGTTTTTATTCAAACGTTCATCAAAATAAAGTTTCATATATTTGGGGGAACTTCCGAGTCCTATAAAGATAGTTCCGTGGAAGATTTTAGGGTAAATCACTTCTGCTTTGACTTGTTTTATTTATGGGCTACATATCTGCCAGATAAATCAACGAAAGAGCTAATAAAATATAATCGCACCAATGAGAATTGAATGGGGTCATATGAAGATCCTCAAAGCAGTCGCGCTCATATGAAGATCCTCCCAACTTTGGCTATTGGTCAGGTCTCCCATCCAGGCTTGATCATATGAAGATCATCCCTCCCTGGCTGGCTAGATCACTTGCAGCCACATGGGTGGTTCTTCATATGAGCCATTAATGGCCTGTCGGGGTTCGATTTCCCCGATCAAGCGAGTATTGAAGAATATAATATTCTTGCAATTATGAAATGATTACTCAGAAGTGAAAACAAAAAAATATAATTCGTTGATCTATTGAATGCGCTCTAGCATTTAAATCAATACAGTTCAAAAAATATGAACACTTCACACTAAGTTTGAACCATTAATTTTCAGCTAAGAGAAAAGAACATTTTGCTAGAGTCCATGGTGAATATTCCAGATTTGGACAGAAACACGCCATTGCACATTGCAGCCAAAAATGGTTATTTAGAGTTTACGGAGGTATTCAAGTTTTTATTTGTCGATTACATATGTTCGAACATCTTGTTAATATTTTTTCCTTGCTTTTTCAAGTTTCTTCTAACTGAACTTCGAGCGACCAAGTGTTTGAAGAACAAGAAATGTCAAACCCCTTACATCTGGCAGTTGTAAACGGGCATGTGAAAATTGTAAAATACCTTCTCAAATTGGATAACCGATTGGTTCACGACACCGACGAAGATGACAACACTGCTCTTCACCCTTGCTGCTTTACAAGAGCGTGCCAACTGCGTGCGCGTTCTTCTTGCCGCTGGGGCTAACTTTTTTGCAAGGTTGGTTTATTAATTTTTTGAAGCTTAGACAGATGAATACTCAGCACTCATTATGTTGCCAACAAACACCGATATCTAAATAAATACCGGAGGTGTATAACGGGCTTAAACAAATATATCTAATTAAATATTCCAGCATTTAAAGTTCTTCTGAACAAAATCTTGACGAGTGATGACAGTTTGCGGTCCACACTGGTGATTTGACATCGCGATTTTTTCCCAATAACAGCCACATCAAAAAGTTTCGAATGTTTTCAGAATCGACGAAACCTATTTCAAATTATCCTAATATATATAAAAATTATTCGCTGATGCCGCGACATATTGTCAACAAAATTTGTTCACAAGTTGGAAAAATGTGTCATTTCGTTATAGATACAACATTAAAATATTGTTTTTCTTTCAGAAACAACGAAAACCAAACTCCATTAGATTGCTGTGCTCAAAATGGTCAGAAAAGGGCGCTGAAATATTGATAGATTCTGGCGCACCCGTGAATATGCTGAAATTTAACAATTATGCCAATTCGGGGATGGCTCCACTACATTGGGCATGCAAAGGAGGCCACGTGGATATGGTTAAGCTGTTACTCGAGTAAGAAGCGTGTAATATGCATTAATTATTCGTATTGCCTCTTTAAATAATCACACAATGTCAGTGGTCGATTGCAACTATTCCATGGGTGCTTTATATTGGATTGATGGCTTCGTGGACCCTTGTTTAAATTAATAAGCGTGTAAATAAATGAAAACACCATAAAAATAATAGATAATTTCCGGAAGTATTCGCATATGCATTTCAATGGATAGAACGTGGGAGAGCATATATACATACCAGGGTGACCGTACATTTGAACCCATGTACATTTGAACCCATGCGTATATCCACGGGTTCAATCTATATGCGGGTGCTAAAACCCATGGATTAGGGTTAGTATGGGTTTAACTATCCGTGAAACAAAAAAAATTCCATAGGTGCAATAGCATACAGGTGCAATTGTCATGGGTTCAAATGTACGTGGGTTCAAATGTAATGGAACCACATACCAGAGCTTGAAAACTCACTCAGTAATGCAAATTGCGACGGAATGTAGGATTCTGATAAAAACTAAAGTTACACCAAAATCAATGACAAAAATTTGCGCTGTCATTAGGTCATTTTCTGATAATGAGTTTAGAAGTTAGTTTTCCTTGAACGTTGGTGGATTTTTCAATGATTGACGACTCCAAATGAATTGCTATTGATTAACAAAAATTCCATTCAAATAAATTTCCTCAAGTTTTACGTTCGAGCTCGCTGCATAATAAGAGTATTGGTCTGCCGATGAAGCAGTAAACATTCAAGAAACATATTTACATTATGACAGCAAAGGAGCAGAAGCAACTGAAATAGAAGATGGTCGGAACGCTTTGGATGTTGCAGCGGATAATCGCAACAACGACTGCGCAATGGAAATCATAAATAGGAAAGATTGGATGGAGGTTTTAAAATTTAAAAGTACGCTTTTCTTTCCTATTTCAATTTTATTCAACATTTTACTGAGAAAGTATATTCAAGTAAAATAGTACAGAATGGAGATAGGCCACCAGCTCTTGTATTCACCGGTCGTGAGGGTGTGAATAGAACTTTTATTATTGGGCCATTTGGGATCCAAAAAGTGGGGATAGCTATTATCTTGGCATGTGCGAGCATAAGTGATTTTCGGTGCAAAAGTTCATGGGTGCAAATGTTCACGAAAGAGTGCAAACGTTTATGGAAGAAAACATGTCTGTGAGTGCATCCATCCTATTTACACAAAATGTTCGTGTGTGCACATGCTCAAGAATACCACATGTTGAAATAAACGTGGGTGCAAATTTCTCTTGGTGTTGATTGATATTTTTGGGTAAAAAGTTACGGGTTGAATTATACCTGAGTACAAATATACACTTTTTAAATGTAGCTTTTTAGGCGACTTTGTATTCTCCAAACGTTAGATGCTTTGTCGAATTTATATAACGAAATTTTGGAGTTAGGTGGCAACATTGAACTATTCAGCACATCACGTGCAGGCATTTCGGCGCGGCAATTCGTACATTCAAATATTGTTTATAGTAGCTCAGAGAATAATTTCGTAGGTATAAACCTAATTATTTGATACAAAAACATTGAAACGTTGAAAAATAAATACTTTTGAGTAAATGCATATTTGTATAAAGAAGAGGAATAAGACAAAGATTTTCTAAATCGCAACCCTTGCACGACTTACTTAGTAGTAGATACTTTTTCATGAGTTTCTTCAATTGGATGAATTGCTTACACAGCTAAATCAGGAGGAGATGAAGAAAAAACGACAACTATGCGCAGACTCATCATGAATCTTCCAATTGTTGCAAAACAAGTTTTCAACAAATGCTGTAAACAAGAGGTACAATCTCAGACTTTGGAGCCGGTTTATACCAGTTAGATCCTGTTTTACTGTTTCGAGCAAATAACGTATTTTTAAACGGGTTCGGACATGTTATGATATGGCCTGGGTCTGACCTATAAAATATTTTTGTCAACTTTCTGTTAAGATTGTATTAAGGGGGTGTTTGTCTATTCATAATTACTACATGGATAATGAATTTGATAATTATTTCTTACAATATACCCAAATATAATTTATTGTATAGAGCTTTGTTTATAGTGATTAACATATGATAAACTCCAAGAAAAAAAGAAAAAATTATTGACTGATCTACTATTTTAGCGTTTTATTCTCAGATAAAGATCGACTCTGAAAGAAGGGTAAGTTGGAAATCGAAGTTTTAAATTTAGATACTACATGTATATGCAAATAAAAATTTTAATACAAACGATTTTTACATATTGTTGATTCATTATGATAAACTAAATGTGCTCCAAAAAGTTCATAATCGAAAATATACATAAGATATATATTATCACTTGTCAGATTACCCCTAAGCTTAATAGATATTTTTTTATCATGATATCTGAATATATTTTGCAAACACTGATATAATTTATCCAGCCTTCGAATGAGATGTTGATTTAGGACATGAAATCGTTACCAGTTATTCATAAGATTTCTCCCCGTGCTGATTACTTTTTTCTGGGAATTATGGATTGGTTTTTGTGAAACCCCCTAACAAGGGGGCATCGGAGGGGGCATACATATGATTAGAAGCAAATTTTACAATTTTTATTTAATTTTGAATAATTAATTTTTAAGCTTGGTTTCCGTTTTTGTTTTGTGCGCTCAATTGTTTTTCCGAAGCCTCTTAATATTAAGAGTTCCGAAGCCGTATGCGTCAAATTTTGTGCATCCACATTGATACTCACCATTTACAAAAATCTTATTTTTTAGACTTCCAGTAATTATGATTCAGAAATAGCACCTGTAAGTTTTTTAATGAAAATATTCCAATTACATTTTATCGAAAAATGAGATTTGCATACAAGGGAGTTAGGATTTATTCTGAAATGGTATATTTTGCTATTGTTGCCATTGAACCTAATTTGCTTCTTGAAGAATTTTTCAATGTAATAGTATAATCTCGTTATATTGAGTTTTGTTGCTAAACAGCTAGCGAACCATCAACAATGGTTATATAAGATGAAAGGTTCAATTAGTTCATTTATATATTATTATAATGGTGACGTAAAAATAGTCTATACTTATGGGAAGTGCCCAACTTGTTTCATAAAAATAAAAAAGTATCTTTGTATGGAAAGAGATTGGAGTGTGCTTTGCTAGTTTCATTTCCAGTAACATATGCGTGGTTTTAACGGACAATTTTTATTTATTTTAATCCCATACCCTTTCCAAATTCTTACATTTCAATGATTTGTAAATGTTTAAATTTAGAAAAAGACATTTATGAATTCAAATTTCTGGAGGATGGATTGGAAAATTCGGTTGGTTATGCTGTTAATTGTTTTTGCAAATCAAATGCTTTATTTCATGTATAATATGCAGAACAAATGATCCGAATCAAACTCAATCAAGATGTTATTTTTCTATATAGCTATTTAGTACATGTTCTTTTGTTCCAAAAAAGTTCATAAGGTTTGTAGTTTGTAACTCGGTATTAAGTAATCAAACAACGAGTGATACAATAAAATCAACTATCCTACTAGTTTGTATTATTTATTGAAAACAAACCAATATTTGGAAACGTTGGAAATGGAATTTAAAAGAATGTTTTGCTCCAATTGAATAGAAAAATATGAATCACAAGTTTATTTACAGCACTGCCTGATGTCAATAGTCGAATCAAATGACTCTGATTTACTTTGCCATCCATTAGTGAAAAGATTGTTGAGATACAAATGGGAAGATAAGCATCTGAGATTGATATTCTGGCTGATTTTTTTTCTCTACTTATGCTTTATGATTCCATTTAATGTGTTTATGATGACAATTCCTCCGCCCTACGCGACAAGTAAATATTTAGTTTGAATTTACATTTTGTAGTACAATTAGCAACTTGAGTGATTTTTGTGTCTGTATATATTTTGATACAATAGTAATCTGGATAAAAAGTATCCATGTCAATAGCGTTGCTATAGCCAATATTATCATTATCAATGTTAAACGCATTAGCATTGAGCATTCATCACCACCTTGAGAATTGTCTTATAAGTCGATGAGGTCAATTCAGGAATTTCAGTAGTTTGTGTATACAGCCTTCGTATCAAGACAAATACATTTCAATATCAGTCTAAGTTTCAATCTTTGTCAGATTTGGCAATTTTTGTATATATCTACATAATCTCTATTTAAGCACTTGCAAAGTCGATTCTGTATTTGCAAAGTTGCATCTGTTATATCGACATTTTTATTAAACTTTTTTTTATAATAACATAATCAGATGCTAAGCAATTACTTACAATTTTCAACAATCACTAGTCAGTTTCTCTACTAAAAATGTAAAATTAAAAGCTGTGTTTTAAATTTATTGAACCCTTAGGTTTGCCATTGCTGCTATATTTAAATTTTATTTTGAATTTTTTTATATTTTATATATTTAATTTTAAATATGTAACACTTCAGCACAACTTTCATTCATTGTATTTTACTCATTATTTATGTGAAACAATTCATACTATTGTTCTCAGATTCGTTCAAATGGAACATGCGAAGTCATTTCTGAAGCTCAACAAGAATGGGGCGATTCGTGTGATTTCAAGCATGGCGAGTGGATTGCTGGTTATATAGCAATTGGTGCTGCAATTCTCAACCTAATAAAAGAGGTATCAATCATTGAATTGGTTTTTTGACGGCATTATGGGACTTGAAACATTTCATTTATGTAGATTTAATTGAGCAATGTTGACAGAAGGATATTTGTGAAATAAAAGACAAAGTACATCCTTTTATTTCAAAGATTTTAGTTCGCCTTGTTTTCAGTAACCTTGTTTTATTTAAAACCGAAATATTATGAACAGTAATTATCATGTTTAAAAATTTGAATTTTGTTTGCTTTTTTGTACTATTTGGAGGTTTTTTTTAAATCAAATTTAGCAAGCTACCGAATAAACATATTCAGATATAAATTAACGTGCGTGAGCATAAATTACAATAAACACAATTTCTGTATGGAATAAAAATGCAAATATTTTCAGATTTCTCACCTTTGCAAGGAATTTATATAGCCTTACCAGTCCACCATTTATATTAATCACACGCATGAGCCGAACAAGTTTAGTCATTCCCCATTTTATTTGCGCAGTTTGTCCAAATGTACGGAGGCCAGAGGGCTTACTTCCGTGATCCCACAAACTGGATCGAGCTCTCTCTTTACGGATCTGCCATAGCTGCTGCCTGTCCATTCACGGAATATACTCAAACTTATGGAATTCTAGAGGTACAAAATAAATTTAATTACATATTGTAACGTAGAAAGTTGTGTTGCTGCTATGAATTATCTCCTATCTGAGAACTTATTCGATAGTCCTGTTGACTGCCCTACGACCTTAGTTAAATATTAGACTTGGACTCCGATATAAAGCAAAATATTAATCAGAAGTTATACGTGTTTAATTGGGAACCTGTTAATTTGTTATAACAGTTAAACAACCTTTTCACAATCTTTCAATTTTTATTGCTCCGTTCAAATAAACATACGATAACTCAACAATCAAAGTGCAGGAAGTACAAGATACGACATTAAGCATAGAGTATGAAGTATAAACGGTACGTTGGATGTGAAGGTTGCGGGTTGCCCCCTTCTTTTCGCTGTCCGTCCTACATTTTCGGTCAGGTTATAATATTTAACGGCGTTTGGGATTTCTCCGTTTGTGGATAAATCCTCTATCTTTATTTATCACTTTTTTGGAAAGAAGGTTAATTTTGACCAATCAGAAACTAATTCGTTTCGTTTTTGATAGGAGAAATTTTGGTTGAGCAATATTAAGTATTGTTTCCGATTTATAGCATCGGCGCAGTAATTAAGGTCAAGTGTATTTTAAATATATAGCAAAATAGATTAGAATAGCATATATTTCTTGGAATATCGATGATCTCACTGTTTTAAGAACATGAGATCATTGTTTTATGCAGGTAGAAAAATATCTGTGTTCCTCCAAGGGTCCACAATTAAAATTAATTCGATGCATATTCGATAATTTGCAAGTAACAATTGAAAATTTGTTACAATATATATATAGTATAATTATGGGTTCAAGAAATATATTTTGTTATTTGAGAATGTATATCATGAATATTCTGAATAAATAACCAAGATATTTTATTTTTTAAAAATGAGGCAATCATACTTTTTTATTCGAGTGTAGGATGTCAAAATTGAAAAATTGTGAAGGTTGTTTGGAAACATTTATTCATTTAAATTTAACCTGACATTGGTAACTATTTTTGTCTTTTAAAATCAGTAAAATACTCAAAACTTGATGAATTCTTCCTTCTGAGCTTTAGATTATTGGACACGAAATGGACTGTGGATCATTTTGTTATTTTGTTGTTGTTTATCATCATGTTAGTATTTTTTTCTTTTGTGGTGAAACATTTGCTTTTTTCATAAATTACTAAAACAATTGCTTTAGAATTTTCAAATGTTAAATATTGTAAATTTCTTTAGAGGGCTGGTACTTTTAAAAATTTCTGTGGTCTCTATGGGATTCGTTATTTGTGTGCGATGACGTCAACAAAATTAAAAATTGCGCTACCTGTGGCGGTTCCTTTCGCGTAATTCAAATCTGCTCAGTTGCAACACGGTACCAGTAGGCTGTTGTGACAGGTTGCATACACGTACTACTTCGTGTCCATATATTTGAGCATCGATCTCTTGTATTTACTTTACAAACCACCTTTTTAGGGATGGCAATGGCAACTCGGGTCAATCACCATTTTCCTCTCTTGGATGGAACTGTTGCTGTTTGTGGAAAACATCCCGAAATTCAAACTTGGAATTTATGTCATAATGTTTACAAATATTTTGAAAACATTTCTGAAGTTTTCGATTGTTCTATTCGTCTTCGTGTGTGCGTTTGGTTTCAGTTTCCATGTTCTTTTCCAGAATCAGGTAGTCAGCATTTATTCAATTGTGCACACTTTCGTATTTTATATAAGTTTTAAACGTTTCCCGAACCGGGTTGCAAGTTACACGACAATTACATATCTTGTTATCTATGTAATATTGACCAAAACCATACCATCGGAAAACGTAAATATTTGCTTTGTGTCTAATTCGAAGACAGAATTAACATTTCGATTTCGAGCGATATCGATTCCAGTGGCCCTTTCCTAGAAACAAAATATTGTTGCTCGCAAAGTTGAGTGATTAGACAAATCTACTCCAGATTCAGATTCATATTCTAGACTCCCCGTACTTGGTCAATTAGTTAAATTGAGCGTGATCAAAGCTATTGTTTGAATTAGATAACCTTGTTATAAGGTATGATAAAAAGTAAAGTTTTTGTGATAACTAAATACTATGGTATAGAAATTTTACATTGATCTAGATTTTTATTGTACGTATAGATTGCGTTTACTAATCTATGGAAATCGATCGTCAGAACATTAGTTATTATGATTGGTGAAATTGATTTTGATTCAATGTTTAATGCGGAGCAAACTAGTCCAGCATATTCAGATCAGGTAAGTACTTTGTTTTTTAACTTATAAAATCTATCACAAATGTAGCAAAATAGTTGAGAACTTGCTGTATCTTGATATTATGATGAATCTGGCCACAGTAACTGCATTGGACCAAATATGTCTTTGAATTGCCGGGTTCAACGGTTAATGCAAATACGGGTAATCAGTTTGAAGAATCAAGAATTTGAAGCAATAGACGTCGAATTATAAATCAAATAAAACGCGAAGAAATCGGGACCATACTTTCGAACCTTTTATCTATATAATGATTGCATAACTGGGACATGTTTCAAAAAAGAAAAACATCTTTCTGTTTTAGGTCTACTACGAAGTGGTGTCTTACATTGTTTTTGTAGCATCCCTGATCATTATGAGTATCATTGTGATGAATATGTTGGTAAGTATACTGAGCCGTTTTAGGTGCAACTATAGCGTGGGGTACACCGTCATATGGCGCCTATTCTGGTGAAGTTGGATGTGCACAAATTAGGTGTGCATCTCTATATTAAACGTATACAGAAATATTCATTAGGGATGAAAAGATGCGAAGTAAGACCTCACGTTCTAATACAAGCTTGAAGTTTATCACACGTAGAGCTTGACAGACCTATCGCTGTAATAGCAATCATTTTATTTTCCTACAGTATCTAGCACCGTACATACTCATCGTAAGTGTTGATTTCATAGTGCATCTACTCAAGGAAGTCTATGCTCATTCTAGATATTTTATCTCAGTTTAACCAATCGATAGCACGCGAAAACGATTCTGAGTATATCGAGTTTTATTAGGCCAAATTTATTTAATTGCAAATGAAATTTGTAATAATTTTAGGTCGGCTTAGCAGTGGATGACATTAAAGAAGTTCAGAAAAAGGCTGAATTGGAATCGAGGGCACGTCACGTAAGTTTGATATTTTTTTGATGCATTAAGTAAAATGGGATAATAATAAATTCACATATTAAAAAGCTGCGAGTAGTCAATTTGGACAGCTTAGTTTATCGAAAAAAATATCTTTGTTCTATGATCATTAATATGATTTACGATTATATTAATTTAGCAATGTTGTTTGCAAATGTGACTTATTACATTTGTGCTATGTTTTTAGACAAAACTTGTGCTAGAAACACAATCTAAGCTTCCAAAGCAATGGATAAAAAGATTCATTCCAAATGAAGGCAAAATCGAAGTGAAGCACAACGAACAAAAAGAGCTGACTCAGGTAGAAAGCCTATAGCATTTTGCCATTTTATATTATCAGAAGCAAACTATTTTTTCAGTTTTTGAAATGAAAAAAAAAAGTAATAAATAGCATTATTAGGAGGAAAATACTAGAAAGAATACTAACAACAAAATTTACGGCCCAGTTATAGCGTTTACAACCATTTTACAAAGATTGCACATTTACATGCTCAAATTTACACATGTTACAAGTCAGATATTAATCATCTTCTAACAGTGTCAATCTAATTTTGCATTTGTTTCAATGAGCGTTTAAATAACCTGGGTAATTAAATGTCTTTCTACAGATTGTAGAAAAAACAAGCAATGATGCTGTCAAAAGTCAGATGCACAATTTGCGCTTGCGAATATATGATGTCAACAAGCGTGCTCAAAGAATAGAATCCATGATGAAACTAAATATTGGAAACAATACTTATGAGTCAGATGATGACAATGACGATCTTGATCTATAAAAAGTCTTATTCTAGGCCGCACATTGCTTTATAAAGATGAGAAATGAGTTGCCGGATTATACCTTAATTGAGTGAATTACTCGTTTTGTGAACACATTTGCCTGAATGATTATATAAGTTTGTATTTTTGTAGAAAACATTGAAACAAAGCTAACTTAAAAATTTGTTTTATCAAAGTTTATATGTTTGTTGTAATTAATTGCAAGTGTTGTGCTGCTGTAAATTTACTTTGCTATATTAGATTCTATTCTTGATTTGCTATATAGATGATGCTTGCTTATTAATAATCATTGTACAGGTGATTTGGTGTGGTAACTTTGTTATAATAGAATTAGATTCTATAGGAAATTTGACTTTTGTGCGTTATCGCTTTAGTCGTATGATGTATTATGAAAAATATCTTGATTAGATTCAACGCAGGATTAGTGTTGTATCCTTGGCTATTCTGCAGGCTGCATGTAGTCTTAAGACTGACAAACAATTGATGTAGTATGTTGAAACGTATAAAACAATCCAACGTTTTCGCAAGAATGGTTATTACTGCCAACTCGCGGAATATAATTGAAATAGACTATAGGCCTATAATACTATGCCAGATAGCGTTTTCAGTTTCAATAAATTGTTTTAATGTCTGATAGAGTGTAACTGGTATGAAATTTGTAAAGATGGTATTATCCTATGTACATGAAGACAGAAAAGAAAAAGCCATTGAATAAAATTGTCCAATTAACCGATACATACACTGAAATAGTAGCAGCAACAGTGGAATTTGGCAATGTTTTGCCAAATTGTAATGTAATAGAACAATACTTTGTCACAAAGTAGAATTGAATAATTTACACTTGTTTCTGAATTATAGTCATGTTTTGTTTTCATCAAGCGAGCGCCTTCTTGTATTTTAAAATTTGATGAATTGAACTCTTTTTTTTGTCGTGTATAATCATTTGTAAATATATCATGGTATAAATATTGGGTCAAGCTTAAAGGGAATTGTCTGTCTATCTTTTAAATGTCTTTGTCTTGTCTTTGATTGTGCTAGGTGAAATCATGTTGAGGAAGCAGATCACCAATGACGAATTTGCGTTTTGTTTGTCGAAATATCTTATCATATAAGTTCAACTTGACTTGCTTTATTGACTGCCTCATTGACATTGATTGCAGAAGCTTTTACTCTAGCCTAATTCGAGATTAGGAACGTTTGAACAACCTATATTCATCATGGTATTGCAACATTTCAGTATCATTTCTTAGCATTAAAGTGATTATCATCAAAGGTGTTTGCAAAATTCATAACCTATTGTTGTAGGTTGTACACCAACCAATTGAAATACAATGCATATTATGAAACTTGGATAGAGGATCGAGAAAAGGCAACGACGCCTGCGCATGCTATGGCGCTTAATCCATATTACCGTCAATTTTTATAGCAAGCACAGAAATTAAAAGTAGCAAAAAACAGGGCCTTGCTCAAATAGATGTATACGGAAATCAAATGACCATATTTGACTAAATTTTGATGTAGGCCTTCATTTTGAACGATTACTCATCATTCCAATGTGCATGGAAACAGTTTGTATACTTGATAATATTTGAATTATATGCCATATTTTTGTGAAGAAAAAAGGTCACAAATACCGCGATAAATAACCATTTATTGTTCACGTGACGCCATCTTACTCAGTGAAATATAATGGTAATTTAAATTTTTGTGCTCTGTGCATAGGTTGAAGTGAGTAAAATACGACTCATTTTAGTCAATAAATACCGATTTCAAAATTAAGAAGCGTTTGGAGTTTTGCCTCCACAGCAACGTAAAGCGTTAGTATTGGAAGCTTTCTTTTCTGATTACATATTTGCAAAACTATGATAGAGCCATTCCGTGCTCAATAATTGCTTTTCTGGGCAAATTATTCTCAGTTTGCACAATAAATGATCGATTTGTCATTAAAAGTATACAAAAGTTTGACACTTCTGGGGGAGTCATTTGACTTTCGTGTCCAAATGTTGGCAGCTTTTACATTTTTCCTCGATGCAACTGGATTTATATGTGCTTGATTTTTTAAAATAGTTCGAAATACATTTGCGACAAAAGTTTTCAATGTTGCTTACATTTGTATATTCTATCGTATTTTAAAATAGAAAACAGCGCACTCACTCAGGCTATCTTATTGTCAACTGCATTACTTTAATGAAATGATTGTCAAAATTTCGTTTTACAATCTATATTTACAAGTTTTGCAATTTGCAACAAAAGTGAAACTAAAAATGTCAATGTCGAATTTAAGATTATTGTTTATTGAAATATTAATTATCACAAGGTAAATGTTGCAGGTCATATCGCAATGATACTCTTCAAATAACTAGCATATATTTCAAGGATTAGCAAAGTTTGTACACGCCACGGTCTCAATGATCCGTCGACATCAGTGTGTCGTTTCTTAGTATTGGAGTGATTATAATGAGTTTTGTGTTTACAAAATTCTTAACTTATTGTTTGTAATACCACGCAATTTGATAAAGAATGATGGCATCGTATGCTTTGTTAGTATAACGGTCAAAGTCATTCAACGCGTGGGGTGCAAAAAACTCTATATAAGGCAATAGTGAGTTATGATCGTGAGGAAGTAGTTTTTGCAGTAGATTGAAAGGTTGTAAAAATATCTGATCTGATCGGGGCAATTCTCAGTAGTATAGTAAGGAATATTAACTTTTAATTCAGGGGTCGGCAACCTACGGAGTAATATAATCCGGCCCGCGACGCTTCACTGAATTATAGTAACAAAATACCAGTTTCGACGATTATATTCTTTACGTAACAGAATTTATTGTGAGACACGTATAGACTAAATCATATGACAACCTAACAAGTATATAATTCACAATTACCCATTTATTGAGCCTATAATTATATTATAATTAGACAAACGGCATAAAACGAGGAAAAGTTGATGCTGAGTGCATATACAATAAAACACAATGAAGAAATAAATATATATATATTTCATTTTAGAGATGTATCACTGCTTGATTTTTATTATAAAATGAAGCATCCGTTCGGTTTCCAATTCCCTAAAAATAGGTGCGGCCCGCCAATCTCTTACAACCATTAATTTTTGGCCCGCGAGCGACAAAAGTTTGTCGACCACTGTCTTGGATATTCCTAGCAGGCTCTTTTAAAATAAATGTAACGACACCCTGTGTACCTGTTTTAAAAATCAATTATGGTAACCCAATATGACCTCTACGGGAAGGCAATTGAAATCGATTGGGACCAAATATTCAGCCTATTCCTAACTTCAGTTGATCTATATCAATAACGTATCGCCAATATGAAATCAAGAAATAATTTAAGCCTTTGCGGCTAGAGTATATGTGTGTCTTTTGACCAACTAAATCGAGCAGGTGTTTAACATAAAAAGTATATGAAAACCCTTTTTTTCTGGGAAAGCGGTTACCTTGCAATTCAAAAATGATAAAAAAAATGTTCATTTTATTTACTAAATTAAAAGAAATTATAAAAAATGAAAAAAAAAAAATACGCAACAGATAAACTTTTTTAACTTTTGTTCGTATTTCTGAAGTGATGTTATATAGCATAATATTTTCTTGTTATCGTTATTCAATTGAGGTAACTCATGCAGGTGGCTTATAGAAATGAAAGTTTTAAACCCGAAGAAGTTGGGTAAGTTTGATCAAAAGTCTTTTTAGCATACGCTACAACGAAGTATGGTCTTTACATTAGTGCTATTCAAAAAATGTCAATTTTCCCAAAAACCAGATTCACAATTTGACTACATTTTTCAAATTCATTTGTATTTTTCTATTACTTCTGAGTACTAACGACAAAAACTTTAGCCATACATAAGCAGATCATAGAAACGTGGGTTGAAATGAATTATTTAAAGTAACGTTAATAAAATTTTGACTGTTGGCTGAAATGTCAATCAAACTGGGTACCTAAGTATTAAGAGAGCACCAGATCTCACACATAATGGGCCAACTCATATCAACTCATAATTCAATAAATTTGGTTGCAGTCAATTCCTGACCACAGTAAAAAAATGGCAGGATACTTCAAATCCAATTATGCAGGTTGTAAATTGTATTGATCTTCCGTGAAAAAGCGGCAAAACTAAATTGATTGTGCTTCATTGACGCACAATAGCTATTAAGTGATAAATTTTTCCTAAGGGCAATATTTGATCAAACATACAAAGATTTGAAATTGCAGGTCCAAGGCCTACTCCAAGTACAGAAAAAAGTCTAATATGCCTTTTTTTAATTTTTACACCAGGAAAAACTATTCGATGGATATTGGTCCATCTAACGGTCCTTCGAATCAGCTTCGTAGTGCTTGCTTCAAGGGAAGATTGGATATCGTCAAGCAGCAACTGGCAAAAAATCCCAGATTAGTATGCGTAAGTATAATATGTGTGTAGCATGACAGCAGCATAATATACAACTATTGCTGTTACTTTAAATTCAATCTTTTAATTGACTTTACAAGTTTGCAGATATTGAGTATTCAGAATATTTTGCACGCGCGCTCGCCCACCCATTTATTAAAACTATGAATCACATTTTTTTGGAAATAAAAGCTTTTTAGACCAAGCCAAGCACACCCAAAGCTTGTTTTATCAGTAGACCAACTGTTATCAGTAACATGCGGACAGAAAGAAGATCGGGCAAGTAACTTATGCTTGAAATGTTTAAAAATGAGAAGGAGGGTTTAACTGATGAAATTGAATGGAATATTGAATAATGGCCGTAACGAATAGATCAAACTGGTGGTTCATCGTACCAAATAGTACAATAATATTTTTCACCGCTTTATTTGTTATTATGTCAGAAAAAAGACGAGCACGATATGACGCCGCTACACATTGCGACCATTTGTGACAATGCTGACATCGTTAACGAGTTGATAAAACATAGAAGCGTATCACTCGCAGCAAACAACCGGGAGGAAACACCACTGCATATGGCAGCAGCTGAAGGACGTCTCAAGGTTCGAAATATTTTACAATGTATTTCAACCGCCTCTAGTACTGTTTCATCCTCTTCGTACATTTTTAGTTCTGTACTTTCATCGGCAAACGATATCCGATGCACAATGAGAAATTGGAGAAAGTCAAAATGCATTAGTACATTACTTCTTCAAGCTTTTCAACGATTATATAGACATACATTTACATCGAACAACATTGGATTTTTGATGCAAACAAAATACATATATGTTTATCACATTACATATATCATACTTTTGCAAGATAAATTTTAATAGATGACTTACAAACCAATGTTTCTAACTGATATGCTAGTAAAGTACATTTTGGCATTTTCACAATATTTTAATATATTCAATTTATTTTAGATTGTGGAGTATCTGATGAGAAAGGCCGGTTCTGATGGAGAGTTAGAGACATTGTTGTCATCAAAGGATGGAAATGGATCCACTCCACTACACGTTGCTATATACAGCAATCACGAGGAGATCATTTTTCGTCTAATCGAGAAAAGCATACCTTATGGTTTGATTTTGTCTGAATAAAAGTTGTGATATATAGCCTACTGGATCAACATATAATTTGTCTTCATCACTAAGCACATGTCGTTTACTTATCAAGCGTGTCTACCGTTAGATGTAATTAACACATGAATAAGAGTTGAGAGTGCGTCCTAATTTAAAGTTTTATGTCGAGTTTATTACCAAAATTTTTACATTCAACTCTTCGTCAAACGGTAATTATGCAACAACTTTTAAAGTAACATTCATACCTTTCATTACTTCATAAATCTTTTTTGTCTGGTTACTATTTGCAATTAAGGCTCTGATTCAAATTGAAACGTATATTTTCATCACTCCACAGGTCGAAAAATTTTAAATGCTGAACAGAACAACAAGATGACACCATTGCATTTAGCTGCCTGTACGGGAAATATCAACGTTGTAAAGAAGTTAGTTTCGCATAAAGTTGACATCGATCCAAAATGGGAGAATGGAGCCACTCCTCTAGTGACAGCAGCAAAGTACGGCCACGCAAGAATTGTGGTGTATCTGCTAGAGTGGTAAGAGAATGGTAATGAAATTATTGTATCATTGATAATATCTCTACCTGTGATGATTCGATTTTGGGGGAAACTGCAACAATAAATACACTGTATTTTATTTCTTTCTATGGGTGAGTTGTACAGTTCTATGGTACAGTAGCTTGTTTTTTTTCTTCTGTTTTTTGAACTAGTTATTTATCTCCCCAATTGGCTAATTATTCGCCTTAAAATGCTAATTAATATACACAACATAAAAAAGAGACAATATTAATGGGAGGATTACATCAGAAAAGTTCCCTTTAGAGGTCTAAGTAGAAAAGGTCTTTAATTGCCTCAATCGCCATTTTGTGATACAAACGTATCAGTGTTATCTGGAATGACACCAATGAAAAATTTTATATCAGCCGTTTTATATGCATGAAGAGGCTGGCTAACGGTGTTTTACTTCTTCATTATGTAATCGGACATGAGCCTACAAAAGCATGCGGAAGAGACGTTCAAGCAACTTGACTATCGTTTAGGCGGCAGTAGTAGATTTCCCCGTTGTCACTCACAATTAAATGAGAGAAGAATGACTGACTCTCTATGTTGTAACCCGCCTCCAGCGTAACGTTCTCTTTTTTACTGAAACAAACTATCATTTCTAGTAATGCGGATTGGAAAAAAAAAACTAAAAAAGGCTATACTGCATTATTGACTGCAGCAAAATATGGCAGAGCAGATGTTGTCCAATGCATGGTCCATCGAGTAAATGCACGTGTCACTGACGACAAGGGCCGCAATATTTTTCACATATGTGCTGCTAGAGATGAAAAAGAGGTTTTAAAAAAGGTAAAACTATTTTGATAAAAATAATTTCAAGCCTGCGTTCTATTACTATTAATATAAAAATCTTTGTTGTATTGAAAATAATTAAATTCGATTATGTCTCGGCTTCACTATAAACAGTGCACATATATACACCGCTTGGTGTAACCCAGTGTTTTTCAATTAGTTCAATATTGTCCTTCAGGTAACGATTTCGTGCATAAGGGGGTAATTTTGGTAATTATACCAATTAGGGAGGATGCGATTCAAAACTTCATATTTTTCAATATTATTAGTATAATGGGTTATTTATGATTGCATACAAATATTTACACGGATTGCCATTTAGATTATAAACGAAGATGAATCCATATCCAAAATAATAAATGTTCCCGACAATGATCTCAACACTCCATTGCATATTGCAGCGAGGGAAGGTAACCTGGACGTTTTAGAAGTGAGTGTGATATAATACAGTACTGTTATAATGAAAACACGGAATGTATTATTTCTTACAATTTACTCTTGTTTTTGCAGTTCTTATTGGAAAAAAATGCTAGTAAAAGTCTAAAAGACAAAACACAGAAGACGCCGTTACACTTGGCTGTAATTAGTGGACACGTCAAAGTCGTCAAATCACTTCTAGATTCTAACATCAGATTAGTTCATGACTATGATGAGCATGGAAATACAGCTCTTCATCTTGCTGCATTAGAGCAACGCGCAAATTGTGTGCAACAACTTCTTAAAGCTGGAGCTAATTTCAGAGTCAGGTGGGTCTGTGTGTATAGTTAGATATTTTTGTGATGGTAGTCAAAAATGTTTTGTGTGCAGACATCAACCATAATATAAAACCTAAATGCATTTTTGTATTGTCGAGATCAAATATTGACGTCGTGAACTAATTTCTACAAAATTTTTGTGTTAATACGAGACAAAAACTCGTAAGTTATAAACTGAAATCATTTACCCATAACCTGATTATTCACTACAAAAAGCCATTACTTCGAAAGAAGAATAAGTAAAAATTTATATAGTCACTAATCATTTAACATTGTGGTTTTGTTTCATCGGCTTGTAATTATTCCTCCTTTTCCTCCCTGATTCACTCAATTAGTTTGCGCTTGAAATTGCTTGTTCAAACATTTTATTTCATTTGCTCCTTTTATCATGTTTTCTACTCTTTTATTTATACGTGTTTGTATTTACATTTCATATCTATGATTACAGAAATTTATTGATTTCTCCAAGGTATGAATATTGCAACCTGTTGATAAATTTGTTGATGGTAACCTTCCCAACGACTGATCATTTCTTATTATCTAAAAAATGTAAAATCCAAGTGTGCAATTACATATCTTTTTGCTAATGAACGCTTCACGGTACCGGTATATATGTACATAAATGAATAATAATGAACAAAACGAGTCACCCTGCAGAGGACCTACTTTGTGTACAACAAGTTGCTTCGTCCGTGCCCCATGGAAAAATATTAGATTGGATATATTTTCCTTATCCTAATAGTCAACTCCTACTTGTCAAGATTATCCTAAGCCCACTATTTGAATAATGTCCCCGAGCGTTCGAGTTGCTTTTCAAGTCATTTCGGCATTTCAAAAATGAATATTTTTTAGAAACAATGATAAACAAACACCTTTGGACTGCTGTGCTTTCAAAGGCCAAATTAAAGGCGCCGAAATATTGTTGGAGTCTGGGGCACCTCTGTCACTGGAAAACAATGAAAAAAATCGTAAGACACCGCTTCAGTGGGCTTGCAAAGGTGGGCACGTGGAACTGGTCAAGCTATTCATGAGGTAAATTTTTTTCTCTAATATAGGATTTATCATTGATATCTCGTACACTCTGTGTTTTGATTCAATCTATTCTATGATACTATCGTCTACTCAAAGTCATTGTAGATAATTATTTTACCTGGTTAAAAAACGATCGTTTTCTTTTCAGAAAAGGAGCTTTGGCTATTGATAAAGATTCTAAAGGAAGAAATGCGTTGGATATTGCTGCAGATAACAGAAAAGGAGATTGTGCGCTTGAAATTATTAAAGGCCGTGATTGGAAGAAAGCGCTGAAAAATGTCACGCGCAGATCATGTGATGACGAGTCAAAAAGTAATTGAATTGATTTCTGTTGTCTGTAAAACTTTATTTATCCCGTATTTAAAATATTAACTATAAATAAATAAAGGCTGATATTATAAATTTTGTTTCAAAAGGCATAGATAACACTCAGGAAAGTCATTATTTTGATTGCTAAACAGTGGAGTGGAAATGGTTTTCAATTTTTAACACCTTTCATTGAACTGTAAATTGTTAGTAAAAATAGAACTTCATCAACAGCCTTAATATTTTCATCAGAATCTCGTGTTGTTGATGATACTCCAATGAGAAAGTTGATTCGAAATTTGCCCGAGGTTGCTGAGGAGGTTTTTGAAAAATGCTCTAGATTTGAACCTGATTCTAAGGTTAGTTTTTTGTCGTTTAGTTTTAAACAATATGTCGTGAAAGTTTGACACAGCTACGAGTGTGCCTCTATATTGATACCTTTAAACTGCGGAGAAATTCAGTTTATTGCGATCTATACTTTATGCAATCCGAATATATTGTGCTAAAAAATGTTTGTAAATTACCCGAACATTTTTAAAAGCCAAACGACTGCGTACAATCAATCTCTTTGTCTTCAATGGTTTTCCATATTTATTTATGACCTAGCTGCTGTTCCATCAAAACTGATTGATGTTATTCTTGTTTCAATGCATGCTGAACTTTTAAAATGATGAGTGTTTTTCCATGTGAGTCATGTGCAGAATCTTTTTACATATTTTTGATCAACGCTAGCCGATTTTAAACATACCCATACACATTTATACCTTAGGAGAATCAGAAAGAAAAGCAGCATTTGTTCAATTTTGAATTTGTTGACGATTTTTACCATCGTGGAAACTGGAATAAATTAGAGGATGAGGTTTGATAATCATCGATATTTTAAAAAAATATTTTAGCATAATTTAAATGTTGTACAATGATAATAATCATGAATCGTAAATATTAATTGATGTCTTTGAAGATGAATGTTGATCAAATCTTGAAGTCATAATCTTTTCTATTGCGTCCCCATTACCTATACACTTGAGCTGTTGAGTATAAACTCATTAATGAGCAAAATTGCAAGTTGTACCCAAGATAACCGGAAAATAAAAAATTACGTTTTTTCATTAAGGACAACGGAACGAACATACCAATTTTGCCGTTGAGAGAAGAAAAGAAAAACCATTGCCTGGAAATAATTATTGACTCTAAAAATACTGAACTACTTCGGCATCCTCTTATACGAAGACTAGTTACATATAAATGGGAAGATGCAAATTTGCGTTTCCTGTTCTGGACAATTTTTTTATTCTATGCTGTATTCATGTTGACTTTCAACATATACATGGCAACAACTCCACCACCTTTTTCCATAAGTAAGTTTGCATTTATTATTCAATTTCACTATTTTTGAATAGCTTGAACTTAGAATTGAGTATTGAATTTTAACAAGCAGCAGAAAATTTTTAAAAATTAAACGTTGAGAATCATTGCTCTGAATCAAAAAAACAAAAGCACTTCTGATTGAACAGTTAAATACGAATTGTATCGTTTCATTACGAAAATTTACAGATACAACATCTACATCTTACAATGGTTCTTGTGTTCAAGTCATTGAAGAGGCGCAAGAAGTTTGGGGTGCCGAATGCAATCTGAAACATTCAGAATGGCAGAGATATGTAGGATATGTCTCGATAGCTTTTGCAACACTAAATCTCCTGAAAGAGGTGCGTAGGGAATAATCAACAAATTTCAAAGTTTTCAATGTTACAGCCTGTCATTATAACAGAACATAACGTTTAAAATTGATGCTATTAGATTATAAATTAAAAAATACATTCCTCGTCATCTAAATATGTCGAGATCTGATAAATCGACAGCCTCAATGAGTCGCTGTTTTTGATCGTCAGACTCTTATTCAGCCAATGTTTTGCACGCTTAGTCGTGGAAATCGTAGATTCGTAGGCAACGATCAGGGAATCAGTTACGGTATTTATGTGGTAAAAACCTATTCCTATCATGCAGTGAATGCGTGTTTTATTAAAAAAATATATCAGATCACGAAATACTAAATAACAAATATGATTGATTTCAAGAGTTGAATATCAAAATTTATTTCGGCAGATCAAGTTATACTTGACCTTTGATATATTTTAAGATTGTGCAACTTTTACGTGATGTAAAGAATTACTTCAAGGAAGTCACAAATTGGATTGAGATGACCCTGTTTATTTCTTCAATTGCAACAATGGTGCCCTGGACAGAATACACCAGAAATACCGGAGTTCTAATGGTAAGAATTTTGAAAAGCACAAAATTTTATAAGAAGTTATCATAAAACTATCCAAACAGCAGTCTGTAATATAACCTTTTACACTGCCGTTTTGCGCCGAGATTTCCAGAATATAACATATATGTACATGCATGCAGACAAATCATTTGAAACCAAACTATTTTATGACCACTTTTTTGACCGATCACGCAACCCCTTCAACTTCATTCATTTATTTAAGGTATGGCAATGGCAATTGGGATCAGTTGCCATATTTTTATCATGGATGGAATTGCTATTCTTCGTGGAAAGTATTCCGAAATTTGGATTGGGAATTTACGTGCTTATGTTCGCAAATATTGTCAAAACTTTTCTTAAATTCCTGATTGTGTTGTCGGTTTTTGTCTTTGCGTTTGCATTCACATTCCATGCACTCTTTCAAAATCAGGTATATATATATATATTCATGTTTAGAAATATCTGTCAAAGTTTTTTGGCATTTTTATTGAATTACTTCGGTCGAGATATTATATCAACAAGTGGAAACACTAAAGTTTTATACTTGTTTAAAAAATATATTTCTCACGTTAAAGCGAAACATTACTGATAAAATTACAACGAAATGAATAGTTTTGATATCTAGAATATGAGGAATTTTCAAATTAATAATTATTCTCTTAAGCATTGAGTACTATGCTTATTGTGGCGTCTTATCTGTTTCGTAAAAAATATATCATTATGATACTTTTGATTCCAGGTTGCCTTCATGTATTTGTGGAATTCTATTGTTAAAACAATTGTTATAATGATTGGTGAAATTGAATATGACTCGATGTTTAACTCTGAACATACCAGCTCTGAATACTCAGTTCAAGTAAGACTGATAAACGAAATGTATGGTACAAAGTATAGATAGGGAAGATGTAGTTTTTAACATGTTCATTTATTAACATGTTCATTTAATTAGTTATGATCGTAATTGAAATATATATATATTTATAGGAAAAATTTCACCTGAAAAACTGTACAAATAGGAGAATCTTACTATAAAGTTGAATTCATTAACATACAAAGGCCAACTAAACGCAGTTCTCAGTTACAGTAGCATCTTAAAAGCGCAGTTGTAAAACAGTATATACATAATCAAATATAAAAATTCTGGAGAATTGCGGTCTCAATTTTCTACTGCTATATTAATGTTAAAGGTATTGTTACGTATAAATGACCAAGATTTCGTTATTTTTGTCATCATCATATTATTGGTATTTCATTGTTCAGGTTCATTATAACGAAATCTCCTACTTCGTTTTTGTTGTAGCTTTGATGACAATGAGCATAATAGTAATGAACATGTTGGTAAGTCTCATCTTTATTTTACTCTGTATTATTAAATTGGAAACGCGTTGCAGATATTATATACATGTGGTGGTAAATTTGAATGCGTTTGAACAATTGTGTATTTTAGGTTGGATTGGCCGTTGATGACATCAAACAAGTTCAAAACAAAGCCGAATTAAAGTCAATATCGCAGCATGTAAGTACTATATTCAATATTCCAAGTTGTACTTGGCAATAAAAATTAACAATTTAATACGTCTGACTCTTCAATCGGTCTTTCGACATAATCACTTCGCATTGGCTCAATTACAAAAAAATAATTGGCTGCTATATTACGCGGCCTTTAGTTACAACTGCAGCTCGCTTATTGGTTGTAAAAACATAGTATTTGATTTGCATAATATATGAAGATATTAAAAACAATTTATTATATTTATATTTTAGGCTAAGTTAGTTCTCGAAACGGAATATTTGCTCCCTCGTTGGTTGAACAACTGGAAAATGATGTTGAGTAAAACGACTCTTAAGCAAAGTGACACAGACAAGCGGGAGATAAAGAAATACCATTCAAGAAAGAAAGTCAGTAGCTAATGATATTTAATCAGTAGTCTAGAAGAATATAAAATTGTTTATTATTCCACAATAGAAGAAGGTCTACCCTATATCATATGTTATGCCATCCTCACCTCAAGCCATGACCATCAAATTAATAATAAGATCATTATGCAAATTTATAATAGATAAAAGATTTCCTCAATAATAAATTGAAAACTCACAAATCAGTGTGCAAGTGTAGTTTCGAAATGGGAGCCTATATGACTAGTTTATGATATGAGTGTATGTTTTTGTTTGCTATTGCATTGTGTCATCCAAAATTACGAGTGAGCATTTGAATGCCAAAATTATTTTCTTGAAACAGGATGACGGAAAGCGAATTGAAGAGAAAGTACAAAATGTCAAAGCTGACGTCCAAGCGTTGCGCATGCGACTACATGATATCAATAAAAGAACTCAAAGCATTGAATCAATGGTGAAAATTAACATGAAATATAATGAATTCGATTACGATGGTGACGACGATGATCTTGACGTTTAAATGCGTTTACGTCCAGTATGTTGCGTATAATATAGACCAGCGTTTCTCAAACTTTTGTTGCCATGGATCATCTAAGCTTTTTTATCTCGCCTAACGGAACACCAAAAATTAGACGGTGAAATTGGTAGATGGTTTCAAAAACTGGCACGAGGCCCGTCCGCCTGTTTAGATAGCAAGGCCTCTTTTGTCTGTTAGGAGACAAATTTCGATCCAGAGTCGCCGAAGTACGACCGAGATCGCCATAACCATAACAAATTCAGTCCCATTTTGGATTGCATTTCTGCGGAACACTCACGAAACAGCAGTGTTCCGCGGGACACAGTTGGAGAAACGCTGATATAGACAATGGACCGCAATATAGTAGAAACGCTTTGCTAAGTATATAAAACTTGATTTGAAACAATATATTTTAGACATAGTTTGCGTCTATTGATTATCATCTATCATGCATGCGTGTACAATAAGTAAAAAGAGGAATACTTCTTTTCGTGATTTCCAATTTCTTTTAATTACATACAAAAAATTATTCGTACAGAAATGTATGTGAGAAAATGGTTTATCAAGTTTTGTAGAAGTTTTTCTCGTAAAAGTAAATTAATAATACCTGTGTATATAAGAGCATAAATATTTCCTCCTGACAATCAAGAAATTTACAAGAATGATCTGTTTTTGGATAAAACTGTTTTTGACATATTTCTCTTACTGGGAGTAAAAGAATTTAGTAAATAACTACTATGATTTTCTTGTGTGTATTTTATTATTTTACAAAGTCGTTTGATTTTTGTGCCTATTCTGATGCTCGTGACAGCAAACACTTCCGTATATGTCTGTACGACAAATGTTAATATATAAATATCTAATGTCTGTGTTTATTATTTTATATTTACTGGATAATCATAAAATCTCACACCTTCCCGCATTTCATTTTCTAAAATCGAAAAAAGAAGGGCTTGTTTTAAATCAATTTATTCCTGTATTTTTTCATGAGATACACCTTCTATCTCCGTGAAACTACGCCAAAACATTACATTCTGGCAGCTGCACACGCAGCCGGAATTTTAATTTCAAAATTGTAAGTAAAATTTCTTATTTTGACTTTTATTTCTATTGCGTGCATTTATCGCCACGTTTGTATTTTCACCGAAGTCATAAGATTTTAAACGGAATGTTCATCCAAGATATTGGAGAGACGTTTTGAGTAAGAAAATCATGAAACTTAGCTCACTAGCCTACTACAAAAGCAATTAGATCAAGGGCAGCCTTCGGCAAAACGAGTAGGTTGCGGTAATGAAGAATATGCTTACATCGGCGGCAATGTACTGATATAAACGATGAAACACCCTAGCGTAACCTATAGCCCAGTGTTTCCCAACCCGAGTCCGCGGTTTCAAATGAGTCCAAGGAACGTTTGAATGAGTCCGCAACGAGCCAGAAATTCACTGCGGGTGAACCTTAACTATCGGCCAAGTTACCATTCACGTTAGAATTTACATAAAACTTGAAAAGCAAGTTTAATCACATAGCATTAATCGAGTCAATAATTACTGATTACTGAGTAGGGATGGGCATGTATTCGAATATTCAACTACCGTGTTTCCCCGATAATAAAACTGGGTCTTATTTCAATTTTCTTCCGAATAATAACACTAGGGCTTATTTTCGTGCGATGTCTTATATATATACTTTCATTTATCAAAAACAAAAGTACAAAGTGGAGAAATACGATATTTTCAAATATGCAAAATATGAAAACTCATATCCATTTACTTTTAAATAACACGTTTTTATTCAAAATAACTGCAAAACATAGAATAAAAATCATTTAAACGTGTAGGAGAGATCTCTCACTATCAACTAAGTTGAAAAAAATTTTGCGTTGTTGACTAGGTCTTTTTTTGAAGGGGAGGCCTGATATCAAAATCATTTTTAAAATTCGGGCTTGGCCTTATTTTCAGGTTAGGTCTTATTTTTATGGAAACAAGGTATTAGAATAGTAATTTAATATTCGAAAATTTGGCAATAGGTGTCGCGACAGGTCACTTGCGCGTGACTTCATCAAATGATTGGATTTCGCAACTCACTTGCTGATTCTGCACACGCTTCGATATATATCTAAGTGGTGTGTCTTGAGAGTTCGAACAACAAGTAATTAAATTTTTTTTTGTTGGTGTCAATGGTGGCAACCCAAATTTTCCAAATTAAAAAGCGGCATTACACAATACTAAAGATAAAACTGAGAACATAAGTTTTGTTTTATGATGGTCCGCGACCGAATAAAAACGCAATCGTAAAATTTTGGGCGCTGTATCGTAGTATAGGTACCAGGGCATTTTCCCTTAGGATTCTTTGCTTTACTGCCTCCACATTGGTACGTACAGTACTTTCGCGCCTTTAGTGTTGTACGAATAGCTCAGATATGTCGAATTCACAAAAGTACGAATCAAAAAATATATAATCGGGCACTTTATGACGCATTTTTGTGTCCACGGATTGTCATGATATTTTCTGAATAAGATTGCTTTTATTTCGTCAACATATCCGCAGATTAAAATGATCACAAATAAATTAATAATAAAGCAAGGCGATGAATATGAATTTTGATTTATTAATATAGTTTAAATATATATTTTAATAAGGGCGCTCGCGAAGTATGTGAACCAAAATGGCGCACAACCTGAACCCCAACTTGGTACACATACCAAGATGCGCCATCTTGGGAGCTCCTTATTAGGTACAAAATCAAGTTGTAATTTTTAGAAATTTATAGCAGATAGTAGTATTTTTTACCGGCGATAACAAATTCGCAAAATCGCAAAAAATATGTATCAAAACTAAGTTAGGAGATCCCCAAAACAGAAACTTCGGTTTCGATTCATTCGATCTGACTCTATAGTGACACCGCGTGTCCCATCGCTAATTAAATAATAACGCTAAATATACGACATAATTCATCCAAAATCTATAGGCTTCTGGTCCGAGATATGACGAATGCACATGCACATTTGGAGCAGATTCAACCTCGTTTTCGTGAGATATCGCTTGTATCTAACAGACAAACAAACAAACATACAAACAGACAAATACCTATAAACATACTCACCGATCAATACCAATAGGTAATAGTCGGGCAATATATTCTCACATTAAGATGTTCGCAGATTGCCGTGGCATTTCAAAATTATAATGCATTCATCTTGTAAGTCGACGCAAGCGCGAGTTACCACAAACATAATTAAATTGAAATAGGAAGACATGTAAATTTCTCGTTATTGTCATGGGCTGAATATTGTGCGACAGAAAAGGCCATTGAACAATAAAAAGTCGGCTCTTTTAACGAACGCGTAATTGCGCGAATTTCCAATTTTGAGATTCGTTAAAATTCTGTTGTTTGGTGTTATTGCTTCTTCACACAGATTACGATTGCAATAAACGCACCTTGAGTTCGCAAAGGTTTTCGCCAGTCAGAAAATAGTCCGCGACCAAAAAAAGTTGGGAAACGCTGCTATAGCCTATGCTAATTGTAGGACTCGTCTGATGCAAAGACGCCACAACTAATCTGTTATGACGCCTTAATATGAATTTCGAGTTCATGTGTTGGCATTTTTCTCATAAAATGAAGGCATTATCACGGTTAATATTGTTCGGGGAATTTATGCTTAGCATACTTTGTTTTTAGGGTTGAAGTGATACAAACTCATTCATTCGATCGCATTCCAATTTTTGCAAGGTGATTTCGTCGTAGCACGGTCGTTTACGTAATAGCTTATCGGTTGCTTCTTACTGCGCAAACCAATGAACTACAGCTTGGGAAGGTGGGTATGAGCCTCTATCGATATTTGTGGCGTTTTGAAGGATTTATTGCAAATAAGAAGAGCTTGGAATGTTTTTACATTCATTTTTCTTCAACCTATTTAATACAAAAAAATCAAATAGTACAGCCATTATGAACAAAACAGGCAAAAAAATCTTTATTTGAAACAATTGTTTTAAAACAATAAAAACAATTCTTTTTGAACAAATTGTTAGAAGAAACCAATGTCGAAATGCAAACAAGAAAACATTTGGTTGGAACGATTGGCTTTCTCATAAATAACAGCTTTTGTTGACTTGACCGAGTATTTTCAAAATGATGGAGCTTTCTTTCTGAATGTTACTCTGATTGAGTTTTAGTATACAGAATATCTGCAATTTCATATATTTCGCCATAGAGTATGGCTATTATTATATCTTCAGCTTGATAGAGTTTAGCTGTGAAATATCTTTAAGATTTTATTGCTCCTTATAGTTTAACACAGGGGTCGGGAACCTTTTTGGTCAAGAGAGCCCTAAAATATACATATTTTCAATTGCATTTCCGTGCGAGCCATATAACATTTCTTCACCCAATCAGGCCTGAAACGTTTACTCAAAAGTCAACACATTCCATGTCAATATACATTTAATGTGACTTCTGATGTTGCATGTAGTTGCTGCGGGCCTTGAACGGTTGCTCACTTGCAGCCCAAGTTGAAATCTACGATACTCATCACACTTTTTCGTTTAGGCATCTCCGTAGTATTTTAAAACTCTATCGCTTTGTGATATCACAATATATGTTCCAGAATCCCCATGTTTTGTCACAATGCCTGTCTGGTAATTCTCTTACATAACATAGACATGCGCTGGGTCCGCGTTGTCAAACGTATTGGGAATTTTTTGCCAAATTTGGCCATAAAATAGTTTGAAGTCTAGTAACAATAGTAAGCTTAATCTTAGAAAAATAGATTTTTCTGGGAGCCATATGCCGTCACCAAAAGAGCCATATATGGCTCGCGAGCCATGGGTTCCCGACCCCTGGTTTAACATAATCTAAATTTAACATCATATCACTTGATATAATTCAAATGTAGCACCTAAAATATCATTTCTGTCTGGTGTCAAATTCCGCACTGTGGTGATAATAATGAAACTTAAGCCCCAGTAGTGTGAGGCTTGCTCGTCGGATAGGCTTGAACAGAAAACTTTGTACTATTTTGTATCTGACAAAAGTGAACAAAAAAATTAAGCATCACCTGATTGTGTTTCAAAAAGGTTTACTTTATTCCCATTTTTTTCAAAGTTTCGCCGAGCGAAACAACTGACCAGGAGCAGTTTTACGCAGTCAAAGATTCTAAGTAAGTTCAACAAACTGCAGTGGTGCCTTTTCACAAATAAGTGTGCTCATCATGTCTGTATGACCCTCAGGAGATTCCTCGTGCTGCAACGCCACACAATAGTTTCTACAGTCTGATGACTACCTACTTGCAGCTTAACCAATACAGTCAATAAAAAATAATTTAAAAAATTATTTTATTTTGGAAAAATATAGCAAAACACGGTGACTGTTGCAAGAAAGTAAAAGTGCGTAACAAAAGCTCCACCATGCGGCGAGAAATATTATTGATTGCAAATAGCGTAGACAGCGCAAATATGAATAGCTTATGATTAATAAATAATTTGTCATACCTGGCATGAGTAATATAGATTATAACATAAATGGAGCAATGCTAAAAAATATATTGATGTTTAAAATAATTGAAGGATACTAATCGAACAGTTACATAAATACGTTTAAGCGTTGATACTTGATCACTTGAAAATAATATTTATTTACACCAGATCAAATCAACACAACAATGTGTTTTTTTCCGGTACCTTATTCATTTCTATTGTATGCATAGGGCACAGCATATGAGATTTTGCCTTACATGTACAGATGTCTGTTGTGAATATACATATAAGCATTTCATAAGAAAGAGAAATTTCCATGGTTCACGTGCAAACAAAGAAACGTTTCACAATGTTACGTAAAATAAATTTATCTTTTGTAGTATTCACCATCTGCGTAAATGAGATCATGCAGTTGTTGAATAGCTGGATCCCTTGCTTGGTAACCAGCGTATTGAGTGCTATTCGTCAGAAGAATCTAAAATTTAAGCAAGTTCAACATTTTGTGAAAAGGTTTCTTAAAAATTATTGTTATTTTACAACAAAAAATAGAAAATAATGACAAAAACATTGGCTAAACAATATCGCGTTAAACTTTAACGTTGGACTTCCGCTTGGACTTCGGTTTTAAAAAAGAACAACAATATGATTTCAAAACCGATCAATATTCCTTCAGGCTAGACATAAATTGAACTTGCGTTCAAAGTAGCTCATCCATAATTCACTTCTTTTTAGAAATTGCTCGAATTTTTTGGATTTCAGATACGTGAACCTTTGTAACCGATTAAACCACGGCTGATGTTCAACACTCGTTGAAGTTTCATTGCTTATTTTCTACGTGTTATATCAGTGCTATCATAAAAAAAAATATGTAAATATCCTCAATAGTAACCATATATATATATATATATACTAATTATTTCAATCTAGCGTGAATAGTACGGTTGATTTTTCAATCAGGAATCGGTACATTTGCCATGTTTGGTTAGCTCAACGAAATTTTGAATCGATTGGAAGGTAGAAATTTCTATTTGCAGTTTGTAACTGCATATCTCTTTTACGCTTCGTTACCTGCTATACCTAAACCAATACAAGGAAGGAAGTAAGTCAGCGGTTAACGATTTCCAGTCATGAAATGAGTGCGTAGGTTAAGCGAGGTAACCTTGAAGTATTATCAATAGTCACTAACGCAAATATTCAACATTCAATGTTGTAGAAAATATTTTCTATCAGTAGACAAATATGAGCTTATTTATTCCAGGTTTACATAGTTGAGCAAATCTATCTCGCTATGAACCTTTAAAAGCCCGTACTGTTGACGTTCCAACCAAATTTGTTAAACATTGACAACCTTGGCAATGCTGTATTAGCAAAAAATGTACCACTTGTACCTCAATGGTTGTGATCATAGAATGCGAAAAGGGATTTCCTGGAGTAATGTTGTACCATATAATATTACCCAGAGATGTCCACGGTCAATAGCAAGACATTTTCAATAAAATGTTCGTTATCAATAAAATTATTTTGTATTTTGATTCAAATTCAATTATATGTAGCCAATATCGTCGATAATTGCAGGTTAAATTTGATCTCTATCAAAGTAAACATTTGGTTTTACCTTTTGAGACGGTTTCGTCCAATCCAGGCGTTCATCTGGTGGTAATTTACTCCACTTATTCCACCTTTCAAATTAATATTTAATACGTTTTAATATTCAATACTTCCCAATGTCAATATCGACTATGTAATATATTTCTTCATTGATCAATGCGGTTTCAACGTTAGCACTGAACACAATTTCAAAACTTTTTATGCATGTAAATGCATAAAATTTTATAAAGCAGTTGAGAATGATACATAAATACTAAGCCGTTGACAGGAAAATGTCGTTGAAAATTTACTTATGGTAGTTCCATAGTAAATACATGGTGAAAATTACGAGAAAATGAAATATGCTTACACAATATCAGTTTTCTTGAGCGATGTGTACGCGAGCGCAGATAGTCCGAGGCATCCGGCATACACACATGCTCCCCAGAGTGGAATAACCTGTTTATAACGAACATGTCAAGAATAATTTTATTGATACCTTCTTTGCAATTTGATGACTGCTCTGTTTTGGCATTGAAAAATGGCTGAGAAAGAGATTTTTAATAAAGTATCATACTGGCTAATATTCAATAGCGATGATTATTATAGCTGTATGGAAAGGTTTTTCAATCTTTCATTCCACTATTGATTTGAACTAATGAAAACTTAATTATATATTAATTAATTAATATATCTTAAATAATATACTCACGTCAGGGTGCGTTTTTAGTGTCCGCAGAGCCCGCCCAAACCATGTTGCCGACATTTTGATAAACACAACAAAACAATCCAAGAATGCTCGATTATGGAATAGAGTGAGGGAAGCAGTCTATGTGAGGCAGGCAATATGAACCGCGTACTATATATATATGGCAAAAAAATGACTACGTGCATCACCTAGTGTATCGCGAGTTATTCATTTCCATATATTCTAATTGTCATCAATTTAGAGGGCTAGCGTACGTGACTCGCGAAGCGTACTCAATGGGAAATTCATAGCGTGCGCGATGACGTAACGCGAAACAGTAAACGAAGATGACGCGCTGTTTGCTTATGACGTAGTTTGAACACGGTCAACAATGTGCGAGAGAGAATACGTAAAATCTCTCTCTTATAGCGCCTTATTTACGGTTCCGCCGGTAGGCATACTAAACATTATGGAATAACATTGGCAAGCACGAAATAGAACAGGTATGTTTGACGGTAGGAAACTAGGTATATACGCGAAACATCTAAATTGGGCAATAAATTCTGCATTTCTGAAACCAGATGATTTATAGCTGGTGAATTGGCCTAACGTTGCTGACAGTGCAAGATAAGCTCCTATGGGTTAAACAGGTGGTTAATAGTGTAGCAATCCATTCTCATCATCTAGCACTGGGTTCTTTATATTTTGCATTTATACCAAACTTCTCACCAAACACAGGTATCTTCTGAAAGAGGGGGTTCTTTTCTATTCTTGAATAAATATTTGTGCTGAGCGAAAGAAGCGTATTGGGGCCACGCATTTTCAAACAAAATATTGCTGCTTTATACTGTCACAAAATTTCTGTCTTAGTTTATAATAATTTCAGTCTTGTTTTGATCTCTCGCAGAGACCAAGAAAAAATATGATATGAACCCGACGATAGGGCTGGAGATTTCGAATTGAATAGTAAATTATTCGAATCGGTTCATTCCCCAAGTCGGAGAATTTCGAATCACTGCCGTCATGTGTTTTTTGCCCACCCAAAGATCGAGGTGAATCTATCATATTTTTTCATTTAAGCCTTCTTTTTAAAATGTAATTCTGACATATGACTCTTTTCTTTCGAGTGAATTTCCGATGAAACATGTTTTTAATATTGTGTGGACACTCAGCCACCTGTCTCAGTGATAGATTACGTATTTCCAGTTATTCATTCATCTGGAGAGCCCATTACAGTAAAAAAAAACATACAAATACTTACCTTTTAATTACTCGAGATTGGATTAATAAAAAATATTCGATTCGGTTCTGGAATCATCAGATATTCTAAAATGTCCAGTCCTACACGACTACTTAGTTAGGTTATTTTTTGTATTAATTAACTATATAAAATCTATACATTCATATGATTTGCCGTCTCGTTTTCTCAAAGAAAATAGAGATAAGACTGATAAACTTACAAAAAATACACGCTCAATGCTCAAGGATAAGTATTTACGAACCAATACATTGTGACAATTTATAAAAACACGAAAACCAAACGACTCAGGTTCATCACCTGGCGGAATGTTTGTGTGGTAATACAATTTACTTTTTTCTCGTGCCACCTGAGAAAAGTTTTGCGTAATTTTGAACGTAATTTGAAAATTTATGTTGTTTGCGAGTCTTTAAAATTTATAGCATATATTTCACAAAGTATGATAAAATTAAATATTTTTATCATTCATTTTTATCCATAGGTAGAAGAAATACATTTTATATAAATACATTTATTAAAATATTTGTGTTATATCCCAGATACGATTCTGGATAATGTTTTCTCTTTATTAACAAGTTGATTGGAACGTTGTCGAATTTGGTGCTTCTGCAATTGCCTACTTATTTAACATTTCATTACGTGATTGATTTTATTCTTTTAAATAGTGAGTGGCCCGTTAGCAAAAAACAATATATATTTCTTCTTCTGTTCTATTTACTGAGAAAATAAACCGCCAACCAATTGACATATGTTTATTTAGGCCTAAATCCGTTATTTAATATTCGACCACACATTTCTTTACGTACAATGTTCACGGAATATTTAAAGTTAAAGGATTGTGAAGAACCAATATGCTACAACAGCTCTCGGATGTGATACAGCAAATAACATACAAAATGAAAAAAAATATATTTTATATTATATTTAAAACAATAGCACTTATAACTCCAAAAATGGTAATAAAATGGTAACATTTAGTCAAGCAAGTTTAAGTCCCATGGAAAATTGAGGCAATTTCAAGAACCCTAATCCTATTACATAATATCAATGATGAACAAAATCGTAAGAAATAATGCTACCATCTGCCGAGTATGAACTCGTAAGTATCAACCAGGAGTTAAACAAATAATAATAAGAAAAGGTCTGGATATTTGAAACCTAAATTAAGCGCCTAGCTCAATTTGATTAAAATATTTTACATTCAAATTCACATTTCCTAATACACATTTCCCATTGCTTTCGTTCCTAATATATATTACATGTAGATAATATCCTTGTCATGCGCCAATGATGAGTTTTGTTTAAATATGTGTGAAATTCGTGATAATATTTATATCGTACTACAATCAGTTTATGGTATACATGTATGGTACATATGTTTATTGCCAAAGAAACTATCAAACTTGCGGTCAGATTACTTTGATAATTGTTTAGAAAACATCACATTACAATTGATTAAATCTGTATTGATATTTGTTTGTGCTACCCAAAATAACTCGAGGCAATATACAATATATATTCGAAACTGTTTTATGAAAATAAATAATTATGAAATGTGTCATAAATGCCTTTCAAACTGTACACAAAGAAAAGCCATTAACTGCGAACGATAAATATTTTCCAACAGCAATAACGCGTTAAAACATTCCTTGGAGCTATATTATCAAAAACACCGATATCAGGCCCTGAAAGCGTGACTCTCCAGATATTTTATTGGTTTACGTTACACGATACGACGTTACTTTCCATGAAGGACCCGTTTCATACTACTTCAAAGTAATTCTCGTCATTCGCATGTCTTATTTCATCGTGGCCATAACAATAACTCAAGTTAACTGTGCAATTTTTTTTTAGTTACAATATTGCGTCAGCCGTGTGCATTGGGGTCTGAGAAGACGCTCAAGTACAATTTTATTGTAGAATACTGCCGATGGCAATATATTTGCCATTTTTCAAACTCTTAAAGCTGTAAGTGAACTTTCCGGTTGAACGAGAAATCCATGGATACCATCGTAGCGTCACAATCAACCAAAATCATTACGAAATATTTTAAGTGCATCTTGCAAAATAAGAAGTAAATATACGTGGAAGTACTGACCCAACCAGTTCTCCTACTATATATTGATCTTACTTTTCTCAGCACCAACCTTTATTTATGTAACCGATACCGACAAATACAGCGCGTGTTGTTTTCGATTTGTCAAATTCTCGCTCAGTATAATTTGGCTAATGCGACAATATAAGCCTGCCCAATATTACGAATTCAGACTATCGTAACAATCACGATAAAGTGCAGTACGGGAATTACAAATCGAGAAAAATAGACACTATAGTCACGACATTGAAGAACTTCGTTATTGAAGCAATTACGAAACGGACAGGAAAATTTAAAGGTGAGAGAACAGGTTTATCGCGTTAATTTCAAAGGCATTCTTTTCATATTGCTGGGAAACTGCTCCTGCAGATCCCACTAAACCAGTTAAAATCTATCATCAACAATTGTACTTTACGCAAGCATTATATTTGTTTCCCCGCTTGGTCAATTCTTTCAAAGACAGATAAACTTACAATTTTCAAGGTTATCATTTCTGATTTAACTATCTCAACGCAAAATAGATTTAAATTGACTAAATCTCAACCCAACAAAAGCAATAAGTATTGCCCTTTGCGTACATATTAAAATTATAGGCAGCTCTACGGGTCATAAATAGAAACGTTTAAGGGTGAAGAATAATGACGTAGACTAATTCTGTTTCAGTTTGCGTGCCTTAAAATAAACCGCGTAACATAATTTACACTCCAGAGTTAAACTCTTAACTAAAGTAATTAATTTTCCTGGGCTTCGGCATATTATAACTGCGTGTTGGCTAAAATTCAAAAATGACTGCATAAAGGTAGAGCAAAGATAAATGACGTTATAGATAGCAACCCCGATATTTGGGTTCCCTGAAATGTATATGTATGTGTGATAGGCAGAACTCATAATTGTATTAATTTAGCGTAACTTAAATTTGAATTTTTTGAGAATATGAAAAATAGAAGATGAATCTGATGTTAATAATCGGAATGGCAAGTATATATAGATCGAGGAATACAGTGTGTGGCAATAGGTCATTAGTGATAGGGGTTGGCAACGTGGTATGACGACTTAGGGTCGAGGACGCCATCAAAATTAAAAATTGCGCACCATGTAGCGGTTCCGCATTCGCTTCAATGATCAGGCAAAGTCGCGAAGTTTGCGGTAGACTACAGTAGTCTACTGCAGTGCTTTTCAACCTTTTTGATATTGCGGAACCCCTGATATAATTTTTCGTTTTTTATGGAACCCCAATTAACAAAATTGAAAAAAAAACACGAAATACTCGTAACACGAAATATTTGTAATTCAAATATTTCTATTTCAACAACGAAACAGAAAGAAGGTAACAAGTGTGAAATTCAATGACTAGGTTGTTCTTGCATTTCCTTTGCAATCTTCTTGAATCGTGGCTTCACGGCGCTCAATGCAATTCTCATACTCATGTCTACACTCTTTGCACAATTCTTTTTGTTTTTATTAGTTGTTAAAGCAGAAAATGCTGATTCACACAAATAGGTATTAAGAAATTGATACAGAATTTTCAATGCTTCTTTTGCAATTGCTGTAACCTCTTTGTGGAAAGAAATCTAAAAATATTCCTTCCCATGTTTTTGAAGGTATTAAAAAGTCGGGTTGCACACTATTTTTACTATATTCCAACAAAAGCTGAACAACATGTAACTATGGTGCGACAATGGCGTTCTTTTTTTGTTAGTTGCATAACAATGACTAAAGTGACGCAACAACCGAAAATATTTCTCTGCACTGTGACTAAACCACCTATTTAACGAATTGGCCTACTTGTAGTTTGAATGAGACACGGTGGTCTAAAAATATTTATAATGACGCATCAACATGCTGAACCAAGAAGTGATTTCCCCTTAAAAAAAACGAAAAAAAAAATGCGGAACCCCTAAGGAACCTTATAAACTCACGGAACCCCACTGCATGTGTTGCGGAAGCTTATGGTTCCGCGGAACCCCTGTTGAAGAGCACTGGTCTACTGTGACTAATTGCATACCCGTACTATTTTGTGTCCATATATTCGATCATCTCTCTCTCTTGTTTCGAATGGGAATTTTTTTATTGCACAGAATTTTCCAAAATTGATTTATTTTAAGAATGCTATTATATATTAATCTCTTGGTGAAACGTCCCTTTTGAGGGCCAGTGCTTCCAGACAGTATGGTGTCCCACAACTTTCCAAACTTTTTTCCTAAGAACTTTGAATTTTTGAAACCTACTGCCCTCTCTTTGTTATATTTCATATTGATTTGAACTGGTTCAATATCTCTTGAAACGATCTTTGCTGACTTGTATTGATCAAATGTCACTGGTTTCAATGGCTTCCGTGTGTGTATCGTCATAACATATGGCAACCATGAGTATATTTTCTTGTATATTATGACAATGCGATCCTCCAACCTGCTAAAGTAGTACTGTACATGTACAAGACGATGATGGACTATTTCTGCATTTACTGGCCGACAATGCAAACAACGAAATCAGTCAGAAGACGCATAGTCTTCAATGTTGTACAAAAGTGTTTACAATATACTAAGGAATGTCCATTTGTGCATTTTATAGGCATTTTTGAAATGACCAGTAACAAATAGGAGCAATTACCTAGAAAGAAGTACAAAAGAATGAATTTCCGTTTGACCTTTCCCATTGGAGATTATAGAAATGCATTCCAAGACATATTTATCTGTACATTGATTTGAAAAACTGGTATACCAAGATAAGATATCATCGGAGCACGTTTTAAACCAAACCAAAATAACCGCGCATATACGGTTTTGTATTTTCAATATCACATCGTCATAATAATATGTATATATTTTGCTAGGGTTTTGATAGCAAATTTGATAGAAGCAATACGAGCTCACAAGCAAATATAACGTTCCTTAAATGTTGCACTGACATTCGACGAAATGTACATGCTGAATTCTTAGAGATTAGCCACATAGATCTATATTTATTATTTCTACAACATAATATCAAGAAGACACTTATATAGTAGACACCGATATACCGCAACGTGCTCATGGACCCTGTGGTTCACGTTTTGCCTTGGGCGTGATTGCGACGCACTGCGTGGCGTCAAATGGCGTCGTTTGCGTGAAATGCGTGCCGTGTTGCGCAACTTATCGGCTGCGTTAATTATTTATTATATAACATCTCATTACTGTAAAAGATATATATAACGCAAAATGCTCGGTCATTCGTGAGAGTCTTGAACTAAACTCCTAAGTCTATAAAATTATTTGACAACCATAATAAGATCCCCATTTTTATTGAGATTATCCGTCGGTGCTGATCTTCAAAACATACTGTAGAACAAAGATTCATCCCCCCCAACATTTATTTAAAAAATATTTGTAGTAACGAATAAAAATATATGGCCACGAAATTTACACATCAGTACCGGCACGTTAAGGCCATAGATGAGCACAAAGTTTGCTGAAGAGATCGGTGATTGGGGGTAATGTAATATGATGTGTGAATCACATGTGAGTAAATAGAATGCATATTCTTAGTATGTCGTTTCATCATTTCGATTAGTTGTCTTATATACATTGCTATATTTATTCATATATATATACATCTTATTTATTTCTCATTGTACTATGCCCCATCAAAATACGACCATGGTACCCCATCGGCTTTATCCTGATCATGTGCGTTATCAGCAGTAAGTAACCGTATTTAGCAAAAAAGGTAAAATTATATAGCAACCGCGGATTGTATATGAAAAGTGAGGTAACGTGAACCCGCAACGTTGCACGTCGTGTAGTTTGAGAGCGAGCAAATTTATAATTTTACATGCGGATTTTAAACCGTGATACTCAATAATAAAACTCATATTGAATATTTCATATTTGCCAATTTTATAGAAATGCGAACGTTAGCAAATTAGTATTCACATTCTTATAATACACCAGGTTATTATAAAAAATTCCATTTTTAACCTTAGGTGACTTGACAAGCTTTCCGAATCATTCACGTCAGAGAAGATAAAATCGCATTGAATTTCGTGAATCAAAATTACAAACAGTATTTTTATACATTCATACATAGTGAAATACCCAGGCTTGTCCATGGGAAACGTCACATGGGATGGGACAGCACACATTTCTATTTCTCGTGGGACACGAAAACCGTATGATTTTCGTGTCCATATATTTGAGCTTAGCTCTCTTGTTGGTTATGAAGAGCAAAATATATTCAACATTGACAATATACTTTGTGAAGTGGCAGACAGACGCATGTATAATAGTTATGAATATGAAGTTAACAAAGTCCGTAAATCTTGTTGTTTTGCATGTCTCTTCTTACATGTAATCCTATTTATTAGACGCTAAACCTAAATTCAACGATTTTTATTGAATTTTATTCCAATGGGAATCCCATGGGACGGGATGGGACAGGCATAATTGTTATGAAATGGGAATGAGACAGAAAAATATGTCCCATGGACAAGCCGGATGGCAATAACCCTATATATAAAAGTCATGGTTTTGCGAGTTTTCGTAAATTAAAAAGAGGTGCAAATATTTTTAAATTTGTTGCGTTTTCTTCCGTTTTTACCAAAAATTAGAGGAACTCAAATAGAATATAAAGCTGCGAGCGATCGCAAAATTTTTAAACTCAACGTGTTGAATAAACCTGAATTGGAACAACGTGTAAAAAACAACACTTCTGGCAGTCTGAAAGCACAGAACTCTGAAAGCACAGAACTTGCTCACACAAGATGGAGCAATATGGCCATTTACTTGTAAATATTAAAATGAAGTCTCAATGAGTAAATACGTTTGCAAGTTTTCCAAATATTCAGTAAATCGTTTTCGAAATCACTCCAGTAAGATCACACAAGATGGCGCAAATAATTCTATTCAGAGATGTAAAATCAACGAAAATGTTTAATTTAGGAAATTCTTTCATTATATTCATTTTTTGAGATCTTATCAATAAAATATATACGGATATCCCGATTTGTTAATTAAAATTAATAAATTGCACATACCACTGGTAGTAATTTTTATAACATTATGCATAAGATGGATGAAAAATATTAATTCGCGAAGCCGATATTTATCAATGTTTTTCACGGCTATTGGCGCTTTACCTCATGAATTTTTTAAATTTTCTGCTCTATTTATATGGATAACAGTAACAGCCCATAAATGCATAATAGATGAAATGCCATTGTAAGATATTTTGCCTACTGAATCAAATTTATGATCGTTATCATTAATTTTATGGGAAAAAAACGGCGAACTGAGAAGTGTATCGTTTGCTTTTTATGTAAAC